TAAAATTATACCTCACAACAGTGTCGGGGACCAGGGGGTGTGAAATAATATTTCACTGCGCTGCAGACCAGGCTACGTGATGGGTTCCGTGGCTCTGAGGCCGGTGTGACTTGCTTTAGGAACAGAGGAACCTGCGGAAGGCTGCATTCTTCCTGGCTGCACGGAGGAAGCTTGTGACCACAGCATTCCTGAGGGTGACGTCTGCTGACGACAGTCTAGAGAATGCAGGCTTACTGAGACGGAGACGGACTTGTTCTCCATGGAGGGGTTCCCCATTTACTGCCGTTGCTGTTCCCTGAAAAAGTACACTCCCCTGTCCCCTGTGCTCCACCCTTGCTAATAAAAGTGGGTCAGCTGTGGAGATTGTCCTATCTGTCCACCAGAGGCAGGTTCCTCCCGGGCGCCCTTGTACCTTGAATATTGTCTCTTTCTTTATTCCCCGCCGTTCCCCGCACAGGTTTCCGGGGGTCTGTTCAGCCCCTGGCACAGTAGCATCTACACAGGAAAAAAAGTCTCTATGCTAAAACAAAGCAGTCTAATTTAGTTGACAAAATGGTAATATAGAGCATGCTTGGAAAAGAACTGAAGGATACGCTGGGCATGGTAGTGCGTCTCCGTAACCCAGGACTTGGGAGGCTGAGCCAGGAGGACTGCTGCGAGGCCAGCCTGAACTACGTCGTGCAACATTGTCTCAAACTGCCCCTCTCAAAAAAAATTAAAATTAAAATTAAATATATATATATAAATGATAATAAAAAATAAAGAAAAGAACGGAAGGATAGGTAAACAAAACTGGTTGAATTTAGTCCCCAATATGTGATGGAATTAGAACTACTTTCTTTTGGAAAGATAGAGAGATTGGAAAAAGTAATCAAACGTAGTTACTGATATTAATTATCAATCTGTCAGAGTTATGCAGGAGAAAAAGGCAGTTCTCAGAGAAAACAAAGTACCACCATCTTGATAGAACTCTTCCTTCAGAACAGCTGACTCCGGGCTTGGCGATAGCTCGCTGGAAGAGCACTTGCCCAGCATGGGTGAGGGCCTGGGTTCGATCCCTGGCTCCGCACAAGAACAGCTGATTTGGTAGCAAATACTTCTCATTAAAAGGGCAGAGAAAGAAGTACCGTGCTAACACTAATCAAGGAGAGCATTCTTACTCTCGAGAGGGGAAAACTGTCAGGGTAAGGAGGAGTATCACACAACGACAAGGGTGACTTCTCCGCGGGAGTGTACAAACCCTTCCTCTGAAGGCGCTGACTGACAGTGTGAAGACACACGAGGCAAAGATGAGCAGGGCTGGGACGGCGCTCAGTGGGGGAGCGCTTGCCTGGCGTGCACGGAGTTCAGTCCCCAGGACCAAAAATACAAAACAAAACAAAACAACTGGGAAGAGAAACATGATTCTTCCCCTACACTGGGTCACTTCAGCACCTCCCGTCACAAACCGACAGATCCGCAGAGAGAAAGTCAGTAAAGACAGAGGTGAGCTGGGCAGCACTGCCCATCAGCAGGGTCTAACTGACAGTTACAGGAGGCCCATCCTACAACGGCGAAATACGTGTTATTCTCAGGACAGACCACATGCGGGGGCACAGTCACCAAGCCACGCGGACGCAACAGAGGTCATGCAAAGTTTGCTATCAGACCGCGATGGCATTAGCCTAAAATGATGAGAGAAAGGTAGCCGGAAAAATTTGAAAATATTTGGAGATTAAACAACGCGTGTCTAAATACCACGCAAGTCAGAGAAATTTCCCTCCCTCCCTCCTTTCCTTCCTTCCTTCCTTCCTTTTTCCTTCCTTCCTTCGAGGTGCTGGGATTGAACTCAGGGCTTTGCACGCTAGGCAAATGCTCTGTCCCTGAGCTATACTCTCAGCCCTTAAAATATTTTTAAAGAAATAAAAAATGAAAATACAACTTCTAAAAATGTGTAGGATTCAGCCACAAATGCACCGTTTACAGGGGAATGTATAAGAGTGAGTGTGTGTATTACTAGCTTTCCAAGCTGGTCTGAGCCTATAATCTCAGGTACTGGCAAGGCAGGAGTCAGGGTGGCCAGTGAGGCCAGCCTGGGCAACAAACTGAGACCCCTTCTCAAAGGCAAAACAATACAAAACATCAAAAACAAACCAGGAGATCAGGAGTGCTGATGCACGCCTGTAATCCCATCACTCAGGAGGCTGAGGCAGGAAGATCGCTGTTGAGTTCAAGGCCAGGCTGGGGTACAAAGTGAGTTCAAGGCCAGCCTGAACTGCATAGTGAGACCTTGCCTCAAAAAGACAAAAACAAAACCAAAACAAACCAAATATGAAGGCAATACTTGTAATCCCAGCATCCTGGGAGGCTGAGGGAGGCGGATCACAAGTTTGAGCTCAGTCTGAAAAATTTTTGTGAGACTTCAAAATTGGGAAAAAAAAAAAAAAAAAAAAAAAGTAAAAAAGGGCTGGGGATGTAGCTCAGTGCTAATGTCCTGGGTTCAATCCCCAGTACCCCAAACAAAAAACCATAAATACTGGCAAGGATTTGGAAGAAAATGAACCTTTCTATACTTCTAGTGGGAATGTAAATTAATACAACCTCTGTGGAAATCAGCATGGAGGTTCCTCAAAAAAATAGAACTACCCTACGGTCCAGCTATAGTACTTCTCTGTATATATCTAAAGGAATTCAAGTCAGCATACTGTAGGGATACCTCCATAACCATTTTACGTCAGCATATTCACAATAGACAAGATACAGAACCAACCTAAGTGCCCATTAAGAGGTCAATGAGTAAAGAAAATGCGGCTCATATACACAAACGGGGTGTTACCCAGCCATAAAGAACAAAATTATGTCATTTTCAGGAAACAGATGGAGCTAGAGCTCATCATGTTAAATGAAATAAGCCAGACTAAACTATTGCACGTCTTCTCTAGTATGTGGAATCTAAGAATGAAAGTAGAAGGGAGACTGTTATTATTATTAATTTATTCTGGTCTTTTTGAGACAGGATCTCACTATGTGGTTCAGGCTGACCTTGAGCTTACTTTGTAGACCAGGCTGGCCTCAAACTCACAGTGATCCTCCTGCTTCAGCCTCCGAGCGCTAGGATGACAGACGTGCGCCACCACGCCCGGCTTGATGGGAGACTATTGTTAGACACGAGGAAGGGAGTATGGGGAGGGGGGTGTTAGGATGGTAACAGGTACAATCAAAACATATTATATGCATGTATGAAAATACCACATTGAGACCTAGGATCTTGTAGAACTAACAGGCACTACTGAAAATATATTCACAAAAAGAAACAAAAAATTTTTAAAATTCAAAGAAGATCTAAGTAAATGAAGGGACACTACATGTTCAAGGGTAGAAAACGTGATACCACGAAGGTGTCAGTTCTCCCCAACTTGACCTGTAGATTCAATGCAATCCCAATCAAACTCCCAGCAAGTTATGCTTTGGTTATAAGTAAACTGCGGAGAGCCGAGGGATCCAGAATTCCTTAGATAATACTGAAGAAGAAATCCCATTCTACTGTCTTGACTTACGACATGGTGATCAAGAGAGCAAGATGTTGTCAAAAGGACAGATCAGTAGCAGCAGCGCAGAGCCCACATGTACACCCGGATGAATGTTGCCGCTGATTTTTGGCAAAGGGGAAACGGCCATTCAGTGGATGAAGGAGAGTTTGCTCAACAAATGGTGCCGGGATGGGCAGGTTTCTGTACACCAAAAAGTAAACATAGACACGTATCTTTCACAGAAATTAACTCAAAACGGACCTTGTACTTAAATAAAAAATACATAATTTCTAGAAGATGATAGAAAATCGAGGTGAATTGGGTTGGTGATGAGTTTTCAGATATGACACTGGGAGCACGGCCCATGAAAGGAAAAGTTAATGTTGTACTTTATTAAAATTAAAAGCTTCTGCTCAGTGAAAGATGCCATTAAAGGAATGAAGGGCCGAGCCAAGAGCGGGAGACGGTATTTGTAAACGTGTCCAATGAAAATCTTTTATCCTAAATATACGAAGAACTCTTGGAACTCAACAGGAAGAGGATAAAGAATCTAATTAAAAAATGCGCAAAAAGTCTTAACAGGCATCTCACCACAGAAGATGAACAGATGGCAAATAACCATATAGGTAACGTTTGCCATTGGCTGTTGAGGGAGTTTGGAAATTTTTTAAAGAAACCATGAAATACCGCTAAACCCGTATCAGAATGGCCAAAATCCAAAAAGCAATGACAATACGAACCCTGACGGGAGGGAGAATAGGAGTGTTTCTTCATCGCTGGTGGGAAAGCAAACTGGTGAGCCACACTGGGAGACGGCCTGGGGGTTTCTTACCAAACTCGATGTAGTCTTGGCTTTCAAACCAATAGTCACGCTCCTAATTTTGGTTGAAAAATTATGTCCACAGTAAAACCTGCAAACAAATGTCCATGCAGCTTCATTCACAGTCATCCAAAACTGGCAGCAGGCAAGATTGCCTTCCTGGCTGTGTGGGTAAATGCACTACGGTATATTTGTGAAATGACTGGCAATAAAAAATGAGCTCTCAAGCCACGAAAAGCTATGAAGGAAACGTAAACACATATTGCTAAGAGAAAGTAGCCAATCTGAAAAGATTACGTACTGTATAATTTCAGCTATGTGCCATCTTGCAAAAGGTACAACTATAGGGGCTGGGGATTTAGCTCAGCAGCAAAGCGCCTGCCTGGCGAGCGCAAGTTCGATTCCTGGTACCGCAAGAAAAGACCAAAAAAAAAAAAAAAAAAAAAAAAAAAGAAAAGGTACAACTATAGACAGTAAAAGGACCAGGGCTGCCAGGGGTTGGAGGGAAGGCCACGCAAGCACATTGTGGCAGATCTTTAGGACGGTGAAGTACTCCATACAAAACCGTAGGGGTGGACGCAACATTAGGCATTTGCCAAAATCTAAACCACAAAAAACTGAAACTTTAATGTGACCCATGGACTATATGTAAATAATTTAAAACAAATTAATATATGGAAAATATAAAATTTTTATTATTATATTACATTTTGCTACTCTTCTTGACCTTAGTACAGTCCTGAGTACAGAGCAACAGATTCGGTTTGTAAAAAACAAAACATATCTCATTAAAAACCATCCACTAATAGTTAACTCTCTTCCGTACACCAAAGATGCCGGGTTACATGCTTTCCCGGAAATGCCGTATCAACTGAGCTTTTAGGTTTCCCAAGGTCTTGGTCTTACTGGTCTTAGTTTATGGACTTAGCTATGCTGCTCCGGATGTGAACAGTCACGTTACATCTCCTGCTCCCAAAATGTCAGTGCCTTCTCTTTTGCTCTTCACACTGCTGGTTTTTCTTCGAACTTTATGGGCAAGATTTAGCTCCGTAGATAGTCACAGAAACGCAGATCTGACAAGTGACATCAGTGTCAGGACTAAATGTCCCGGGACTACAAACCACTGTGAAGGAAAATACACGGAGTAGAGGTATTACTACACGTGAGAGGTATTTTATATCAATACATACAACTCAACAGGAATATTATACAATTTCTATACCTACACTTTACTTACTTAGCCAATTACGGGAGACTACGAGTTTCAAACTTTATAATTTGATGATCCTAAAGACAGGGGAAGGTTGGAATCTTTTTTTAAAAACAGTGACAAAGTTTATTTGTAAAAGTGAAGAGTGAGGGAGAAAGTGGCCCTGCGGAGCGAGCTGGGGCAGAGTAAGGGAGGAAAGAGCAAGACAGAAGTACACCCTGCGGGACACGGGGCGGGCTGTCGGGAGGAAAGCCATGGTAGCTGGAATCTTACTTTTCACTTTCGTATCAGCATTTTACGAGACCTTTATGCGTTCCTATTTCCAGCTTTCTAGCTCCTATTTCTTAGTTCTGTTTTCTAGGTAGGACCATTCTATATTCCTTACAGTATAGCAGCTGACATCAGAACACTCTAGAAATGTTTTATGATACAAGAGAGTGCATGGGGGAGCTAAATATACATTAGGCTAAATAGATTTAGAAAGTTGGTCTTTGAAGTTGTGCTTCCCTTTAGCAAGACATGCTTCCGTAAGAGAACCAGGGTAAAGATCCAGTTCAATGATCCTAAGTAAATTATTCATCGATTCCTCTGACTCTAGGACTGAGGTATTTAGATTCGTATTTTATAATTACCACAACAGCTTGCACAGTTACTGTGTAGACCTTCATTTTTTCCAAAGCCTGGCCGACAGCTATCCATCCGAACTACGTGCAAACTGTGGTCCACAAAATGCATAGCTGGTACTGTTTTATTAAAGTGATGGGAGAAAATATTTGCTTGGCTCTGAAAAAATTCTTCTACCCGATCTCTTGCCTAAGATTTAAAAATATCAGAGTAAAGAACAATTACTAAACCCGATGTGCCGTGCTTTACACAACTGATGAATTCTCAAAATGCCAGGCATTAAAACTAAAAATGAGCCTAATATTAGCCTCACCTTAACCTTATCAACTGTTCTCATTTCATACATAAAGTGAGTAAGAAGAAATAAAGTTAAAAACTCATGGGCCGAGGATATAGCTCAGTGGCATAAGAGCCTGTCTGGCAAGCACAAGGTCATGAGTTCAATTCCTGGTACCACAAACAAAACAAAGAAAACAAAGAAAAATCGGTAACATGTCAATTCCACATGTAGCGCTCCAGGGGTTCATTACTGTATTTCTAACTCCATATAATTAGCAAGGAAAAGAAATCCAAGCAAAATGGAAACTAATGTTTTTCTCTACTCAGCATTACAAACTAAATGATATAACTCATCTTATTTCTCAAGCACAGAGTTTAATACATATATGTGCTGCTGAAGCGAGCACAGTGCAGAATTTAATAATAAATATTAACTGCATTCTCCCCGTAAGCTATTCATATCATGGGAACAAGATCGTGGCATATCATGGGAACAAGATCGTGGGAGTGCAGGAATTCTTTTGTTCAGTACCCAGACCTTTTAACTTTTCTCCTTTTGGACAAAGCCTCACTAAGTCACCCAGACTGGCCTTAAACTTGTGATCTTCTTGCCCTCAGCCTCCCAGAGTGCTGGGATTACAAGTGTGCACCAAAAGCCCAGCTGAGCGAAGGGATTTTTCAGACTATGTACCTAGCTTCTGAGGAGGGCAGACAGCACAGCAACTATGATTCGTTTTTGTTTTTTTGAGACCAGGTCTCACTATGTAGTTCAGGCTGGCCTCTATGTAGCCCACGCTAACCTCAAACTCCTGGAGATCTGCCTGCCTCAGCTTCCCAAGTGCTGAGATTATAGGTGGGCGCCACCACGCCTGATGGCACAGTAACTACTATGACAACAACTGATACAATTTTGGAGAACACTTCATTTAACCTAGGATGACAAAATTGTGAAATTGTGCTTCAAGCTGCTGTCTAACCATCATTTGGGGGAACAAAACCAGGGATCTACCTTTCTGTTATAACATAATAACATAATATTAATGGGGAGGGAACTACATAATATTTCAGATGTACTTCTCAAAAGAGTACATCTTGAAATACCCAAGAATCTCACAATTTCAGTTTAAAAAACAGAAACAAAAAAATCAACACTCCTTTATGTTTAAACTTTTTAAAAAAGAATTTAAAGGCTGGTGTGGTGGCACAAGTCTGTAATCCCAGCACTTGGGAGGCTCAGGCAAGAAGATCACTGAGAGTTCGATGCCAGCCTAGACTACACAGTAAGTTTAATACCAGCCTGAATTACAGAGTGAGATCCTGTCTCAACAAAACAAAACAAAACAAAACAAGAATTTAAATTTACTCCTTAGGAATGTTTTTATGAATGGCAAATACACCATGGAGAAGTGGATTTCTGAAGAAATTTTTAACAAAGTATTTAAACATTTTAAAATAGCCTTGATTATTCTAGTACTCTCCTCTTCCACTGAAACGCTCACCTTGAGGATCCTGCCGTTAGTGACCTCGTCACAATCAACAGATGCATTGCACACATCTCTCCACCCAGGTGCGAAAGGATTCACTGCGGATCGCAAAACAGGTTCACAAAAGAATTCTGACAAATTGCAAACATCTCAGTAAAGGCCCAAGTGCTTCAACCTGCACCACACAGGCATTCAATCGGGCTGTCTAAGCCTCGCAGTAAAGGTGCACAGTGTGAGTGATACATTATGACCTTACTCCATCTGGGGGCTGAGGGAAGTAACTACAAGGTTTTAAAACAGAAACACACTGGGTTTGGTTACTTCCTTTTATTAATGTTTCAAAAATACAGTTTAAAATTCTGGAAGAAGTTATCACTGAAATGTCAGCTATATAATTAAAGACCCCATTCCTGAAATAATTGACTTTTAAATGATACGCAACAATATATCACCTTTGAAGGCAAATAATTAGTATGTTAATTTTAAAAAATCACAGCCAGGGGACAATACACTAATAGCGCTTTAAAATAAAACACTTTAAAATGTTTAAAACGAACATTTAAAAAACCTATTATTCATGAGATATCTTGTTTTCACACAGTCATTTTGTAATTTATCTTGGCTCAAAACTACAGTCATCAAATGAAAGAAATGTTTAAAAAATTGTTTTTACCTTGAAAGGTTATGAATAGCTCACGTGTGAGATCGTGTTCTGGAATTTTAACAACATGGCATTTATATGATGGTTCTATGATATGGCATGACAAATCAGAGATTAAATTATTCAAGATTTTCTTCAGCAGCCTAAAGAGCTGGTCATTGTATCTTCCTACACAGGACTTCGTGGTAAAACGTACAGACATCTGGTAAGAATAATCAGGTTCCCGGTAGGCTTGAAAAAAGATGAAAATGAAAACAATTGTGCCTAGCGTTAACTTACCCTAGTAAACAATTTTCAGATAACATGCAGTATTAAGTCCCATCAACCTTGGAAACTACTTTTCTCATAAAACGTTGTATCAGTGTGCTCACAAAATATAGGAAACTAGTAAGTTCAAAGAAAAAGTGTTATTTTCATTTGAAATATTTACTTAGAAGAAATGGCTTCTGTGGGATAGCGATAAAGATAAGTTAAGAGTATCAAGAAAAAAATAAGATGGCTTTGGTGGTGCACATCTGTAATCCCAGCCACTCCAGAGCCTGAGACAGGAAGACTCCAAGTTTAAAATCAGCCTGGACAATTTAGCAAGAACTTATCTCAAAAAAAAAAAATGCTGGGGTGTCAGAGCATTTCCCTAGCATGAGTGAGGTCCTGGGTTCGATCCCTAAGACTGACATAAGAAAAAAAATAAAATTGTACTTGGGAGGGTCTCAGTGTCCAGTTAAGTCTCAACTTAGATCAGTGAAAGGGTCATTCGTTTGCTTTTACAGAATTAAACATTGATTTCTAAATGTCCTGGCAAAATTCTGATAGTTTGTCATTGGTTACACACCTAGGTAGTAGGAAGCAGAGCTGGACATGATATTTTGGACACCCTTACCTTGATGTTAATTTAGGAGTTTTCCTAGCCAAATTCACCTCCAAATACCTGGTAAATCATAATGAGTGCCTATAACCAGGTTCATTTTCACTAAATGAAGAAACTTCACACCTAGTTCTGATTCACACTAACTGTACAAATTGTGCCTACACTCCTACCAAAGATCAGGAAGTCATATCTCTTCTTTACTACAGTTTCTTCTTGGGTTTCTGCCTTGATCGTCTTATAAGAAAGAGTACACGTGTAAAGTCCAGATAAAATCTCCTGAAAATCCTTCACAATCAGCTTTCCTGTTTCTGTAATACTGGTTTGATTATTTCCTAAACACAAATGGAAAATGATTTGGTTACTGAACAAACAAAATTCAAATGTTACTTAGTAAACCTGGGGTTACGAATTGACACACACACAAAATATAAGGATAAGAGACTATTTCAACTTCAAGAATCCAACAAAATCTTAATTCTGTCATATCACTCTATGAAAACCCACCAGATAAGTACATTTCTGAAATATGTATTAATTTTCTTTGATTCATTTCTTGTTATCTATTTCAATTAGCTTACGGCATTAATTCAGTAAATGAGATACAATTTCTTCACATGAAACAGAAAGGAGCTGAGCGTAGAGGTTGCACGCCTGTAACCCCAGCTACTTGGAGGGCTGAGACAGGAAGACTGCAAATTCGAGGTCAGCCTGTCTCAAGATAAATAAATGAAATACAATAAAAGGGGCTAGGGCTGTAGCTCTGTGGTGGAGCACTGGCCTAACGTGTTCAATCTTCAGTACTGAAAAGAAAAAAACCAGACCAAACCCAGAAATCAATTAATCAAGGAACTTTTTTAACATCAAGGAAACTAAACATTAGCTATTTCATTTCCTATTATTGGTGCTATAAGGGTAAATTTTTAGGTTTTAAAGACCGTTGAACTAGTTGGGTGTAGCAGTGCATACCTGTAATCCTAGCACTCAGGAAAGTGAGGCAGGAGGATCAAGTTCAAGGCAAGGTCAAGGCCAGCCTGGGATAGCTATATGGTGAGTTCCAGGCCAGGCTGAAATATACACTGAGTCCCTGTTTCAAAAAACCAAACCAAACCAAAAAAGACTTTTGCACTAATACAGCTATAGAAAGTAGGGTACAAAAATTACGCCTTCAGGGCTGAGAGAGTAGTTCAAAGGCAGAGTGCTTGCCTAGCGTGTGCAAGGCCCTGGGCTCAAGCCTCAGCACTGTAAAAAAAATCAAACAACAACAACAACAAAATTATTGCTCCAGTTTTTACATGAGGAGAAAATAAGGCACAGACTAAAGTATACAACACGATTTAAATTTAGATAAGTAGAGTTGCAGTTAAATTTCAATTTGTTCTTTTCAATAAACAACAGCACTTTTTAAAAACAATGTTGACATCATTAAAACTGAACAGATTAAAATCAAATAATCTACCTGTTAACGTTTTTTCATTAGGCCCAATCCATAGGTATGTGGGGTCCACTATTTCTGTACTAGCACGTTGGGAATCCATACAGAAAAGGTCTGGACTATTTTGATGTAGTTTTACATATATTTTCACTGTGACAAAATAAAATAATGTATAACTATATTATGTAGCAAAATTAAGGAAAACACTTCTGTCCCAAGGATACTAGCTAGTTCTTTTTGAATTTCAGTATATTTTTTGTTTTATTTTATTATTATGATTTTTTGAGACAGCATCTTGCTATGTAGTTCAGGCTGGCCTTGAACTCACTATGTAGCCCAGACTGGCCTGGAACTGGCAGCAATCCTCTTGCCTCAGTCTCCCAAATACTGGGAATAGAGACATGAACCACCATACCTGGGTGTGAATTTCAGCATTTTAAAAATTGATATATTATTATAACATTCAGGGCCAGGCATTGTGGTGCACACCTGTCATCCCAACACTAGGAGGCTGAGACAGAAGGACTGCTATGAGTTCAAGGCCAGCCTGGGCTACATAGTGAGTGCAAGGCCAACCTGAATTACTTAACAAGACCTTGTCTCAACAAAACAAAACAAAACAAAACACCCCAAAAAACATTTAGGATGCTACCCTGAAGTCTGTTTTCTTTCCCAAGGTAAGTTGTTTAAACTATTCAAGTCATGTTTTTCTTTTCGGTTTTTGTGGTATTACCGTTCATAAAAATGTACGACACATTTAGAAGTGCATTTTAACATGCAGATTCAGAATTCATTCAAAACGTAATCTTTTGAAGGGATAATGGAGTCAATTTAAAGTTCAGGGAAGGACTTGAACTTGATTGCAAAACTATGATGATTATCCCGAAGAGAAACTCGGCATTTTGCTTTAAATTTCTTCTCTTGGGCATAATAACTCTAGATGGGGCATACTAGGAAGGTGTTCTGCAACGACCCACTTTGACTCTGATTTGGTAGGTGCAGTGCCTTTAGGCTGGGAACCATCGCAGTACTGCAAGGTATTAATTTTAAAACCTACTGAATCCAGCCAGGCTCTGATGTAGAAAGACACCAGCCTACAATCCGGAAGCAGTGGTGTCTGGGAGAGAGAGGTTCCGAACATGCCACTATGTGCTCGCTCAGAGGTAACTAAAAGCAGCTGTGGGGCTGACTTTCCTGGGGTGTGAATAACAATTTTTGAGCTGAGCCTTAATGGGTGAATAGGAGATCTAGTTAATAAGGGGAAGGACAAGAGCTTATCAGTAGAGGAGAGGAACTTCCAGCCCTGGAAATCACGCCTGGGCTGGGGCTCACACGTCGCAAAGCTGCAGAAATATCTGGACTCGAGACGCCATCACAAGAGGTCTGCATTGAATTGGGCTGGGCTGGATACACCTTGAGACCATAATGTTAAGTGAAATAAATCTTATATGAGAAACCCAAAATATAAATAAATTAAGAGCAGAACAAAAAAGAAGATTTGCAAACGGGAAGGCGGCAAAGAGATGGGGAGAAGGGACGTACAGAGAAGTAAGACGTGTTCTGCCCATGCGCCAGCTCCCCGCGGTACTGCACACGTGCACAATGAAAATACCAAGGAAACAGAGCTGAGCGGCTCTAAGGCAAGGTGACACAGCTAACGCTAGGGTCACGGTAAGCGCAGAACGGTGCAACCTGATGCCCAGGAGACGTCTGCCCGCCCACCGCGCCCGCTCATCCGGAGGCGTCGCGTGGGCAGGGTCCTCATTACCTGGGTGCCCCGGTTTGCCGTACACGAGGCCATTCTCACTGAGCAGCGAGGAGCGCGGCCGGGCACCTGCGGAGCACAGAAGCAGCGCTCTTCAGACCGGAGCGGGCGGGGAGTGGGCAGGGCTGCGCGGGCAGGGGCGGGGCGGGGAACCCGGGGCGGAGCGGACAGCCCTGGGGCCGGGGACAATCGTGGGCCGGAGGGAACAATCCTGCGGGCGGAGGGGACAGCCCTGGGGCCGGGGACAATCGTGGGCCGGAGGGGACAATCCTGCGGCGGAGGGGACAATTGTGGGGTGTGGGCGGGGCGAGCCCCACTTCCTGCGAGGTAGCAGAGCACCACGGAGAGTAGGAGCCACACTTGCATGGCGGCTCAAAGGGTGGCGTCGCAGGAGGCCTCGACTGCTGGACTCCTTCCTGCCGCAGCCCCCGTCCAACGCCTCGCCATCGCGCTTGTCCACACAGCCAGAGAAACTGCCCACCGTCAACTCCGCTACCCGTCCGCGGCTACTGCGGGGGGCGGGGGAAGAGTGGGGGCGGAAACACGCCGGACTGCGCGTGCGCGCTTCTCACTGAGGGGGCGGGGCTAAGTGCCGAGCGCCCCGCCTCTGGGCATGCGCAGCCGCTGTCCTGCGTGCCCTTCACACCTCGGGTGGGCGCCATTTTCCCACGCGGTCCTCTGAGCTGAAGGAACGAAGAGAGTGGAGGGAATAAAACCAGAACGTTGTGTTCCGGGACCTCCCTTAGTCTAGGGGGACTTTAAGGGACCTAGGAGAGACCGCCACGGGTCCCAAGGACGGTGATGGGGTAGTCAGAGGACCTGAGGGAAGGAGACGCGTGCGAGAGTTTTCCCAGCCGTGAAGCCGAGGGCCCCGCATGGGCGTGTCCTAAGCCTTTGCTCACGTGACCGAGTGATACTGTGACTGGAACTGTGTGCACCATCTTTTTCCCGCTTACTTTTCACCTCACTGAACGCTCTGGCCGCAGAATCACGCGCTCGAAGGACGCTAGCGCGCCCGCGCAGACCCTCGCGTGCGGAGGGGTGTGGCGCCCTCATTTCCGGCTTCACGCGCGCCGTGATGTGGAGACACCCCTCCTCCAGCAAAGTTCATTCTGGAGAAGCTTCAGCCGCAGAAAACGGGCCCCGCTGAGAGGCAAGAGGCCGAGGTCTGCTTTTCCTGTGGCAACGGGGGTAATGCCGGGGCTCTCTAGGGGCGCTCACGCCCGTGAGTGTCACGGGCCTTTCTCGGCTGCCGGTCTGGCGGCCCGACAGGCCCCGCGTATTGTCTGTTTCAATCCCAACCTTCGGCGCTGCTAACCCTCAGTAGTGGTTTTGAGTAGGCTGGTTGGTAGAGAACCCAAGGTTCAGGCAAGGTGCAGAATGGTTATTTTGGGTGAGATCAACAGTTTTCAGTTTTATTTCCTTTGAGCCGAGTCAGTATTTGGACTCTCTCAGATGGTCCAGGAGCAACCTTTGTCAGTGATTTCATTTTTAGTCACTGTTAATTTTACCTATAAAGTATAAGCTAGGAACTGTGACTCAGTGAGTCAGATCTACCCATTGTCGGTTACCGTATTTATGGTTTAGTCACAACTGTTCCCTTCTCAAGCCAAAGATCATCAAGAAACATGTAGGCATTCTCTTCGATTCTCTAAAAGTTTTTCATTCCAGTTTTGCTCAAGGTGCCTTATAAATGTGGTGTGTTACTGACTTCCTGGTTATGAAATAGTTGATCCTTGTGAAACTCGTGTGATAAACTTTGACTCCTGTGAGAAGAGCCTTAGCCCAATGTGTAATTACTGTCTGTTGGAAGGGCGATATAGCCACACTTTTAAAATAAGCTTTTCTTAATTTTAGAAGATTTAGATATATAAGAAAATTGCAAAGATAGTGCAGAATTCTCACATAGCTCCAACCCCAGTTTTTCTGTTATGCACATTTTACATTAGCATGGTATATTTCTCACAATTAATGAACCAATATTGACACATTACTGTTCACTAAAGTCCATGCTGCATTCAGATTTCTTTAGTTTTTATGCCCCAGGATCCCATCCGGTGTTCCATATTACACTTTGCAGTCATGTCCCCCCAGATCCCTCTTGGCTGTGACAGTCTCTCAGAACTCTTTTTATTAGTACATTTGTAGTACATAATGATTACATTCAACATTGGGAGCTGGCATGTACACACAACACATCCCAATTCTTTTACCTCCCCTCCCCTCATCTCCCTTCCTCCAGCTCTAGGTTCTCAGAGTCATTTTTGTTTTTGTTTTTTATGACCTTGACAGTTAATGACAGTTTTGATGACCTTGCCCTGGCCGTAAGTGGTCAAGGAGTTTGCAGAAGGCCTCTTGGTTGGAATATGACCAATATTTTTCTCATGACTAGACTAGGGTGATGGGTGTTTGAGAGGATGACCACAAAAATACAGTGACATTCTCATAACATACCAAGTATACATAACTATAATCACGCCTTATCCCCATTGGTGTTCACCTGAATCACCTGGCTGAGGTAGTGCTTGTCAGATTTCTCTACTATAAAGCCCCCTACATACTGTACTCTTTGGCAGGAAGTCACCATGTGCAGCCTACACTTAAAGAGTGGGGATTGTGCCTCATTCTTGAGGGTGGAGTAACTACGTAAGTTATTTTACTCATCTACTTTTTATCTATCCCTTTGGATATCACTTTTTGGGCCTGAAATAATACTGAACTAAGTATAGAGCAGTAACATCCCACTGTCACCTACAGGCAACATTGTAATGGAAAGTAATAAAGATTTTTTGTTAAGTTTAATAACCAAATACCCTCATACCATCCCTGTGAAAGTTTACAGTTCCTCATCTGCTACTTTTGATGTGCTATTTTTGCTTTTAGAAACTAACAAACAACAAATTTCCCCTTTCAGTACTAAAATTAAACCTAGTGTTTAGAATAGTTCTCTGAAATTGACACTATCCTGCAAAACTCCAATTCATAGCTATAGGGATGGTACTGTGGTGCTGTGATCATAAGGGCAGTGCTAGTTAGTTACTCATTAAAGTATATATATATGGTACATATTATACACAGTCTACAAACACTACTTTATATAAATTTAAATATATATAGTATACAACGTATATATAGTATATATTACATACATTGGTATATACCAAGATTCTATTTAAAATAAACTTAAATTCATAAAATTATACTGTGTATGTCTTAATCTCATAAATATGTTTCTTCTGATAAGAGTCCACTGATCCCAAGGCCCTTCCCTTAAATCTCAAATATATTTCTATTGCACTAATGATGCAATATTGACCATTTAACACATTGGGCATCGTTAGGACTCACCTAAATAATGCCCCTTAAGCCTTCAGTGCGAGGAAAAGTTCTGCTTTGCAAACCGTCCCCGCCTTGTCCTCGCTGAGCAAACGTGTGCTTTCCCTCCATGAGGTGGGGAGGCTGCTGGGAAGCGCTACTGACTGCTGACGGCACGTGTCCGTGAACCGCTCCTCCAGTGAATCAGTCTCACCCCCTCCCCCAGCTCTGCTCTTCACTTGCTTTTCTGATGTGTACCTTTCTAAGGGGTCTTAGAGAAGAAGGCCAGGAAGTAGGAAAAAACACACAGTTATATTTTTGCCAGCAGCGGCAAACCAACCCGCTGCCAGAAAGGAAAACAAAAGCGAGACAATTAATCGCGCCCCAAAGTTAAAACATCAAATGGATAAAAGTGCCAGCATGCCTTTGAACTGTCATTCTGAAAACCTGGACCAAGACCTTTTAACATAGGAAGTGAAAAACCGAGGAAGGGTGAAAAACCCCACACATCACATTTCCGTCAATGAAGGGAGTTCTCACCGATGGTGTTCATGGCCAGCACCCCGCCGGCTGCACCCGGAGCCCCAGACCTTGCACCTAGCGCTCCCTGCGCGAGGCCCTGCCGCGGGAGCGGCGTGTGATGCGGGGCCGCGCCGTCGCCCTCCCCGCGCGGGCGCCCAGCC